TGTGTGTGTGTGTGTGTGTGTGTGTGTGTATGATTCGTAGTTTGCCAAGTCATAGGACTTTCTCGATCCATGCAATATTGTTATAATTCATTTGGTCGCATGTAATTCCACCCATTCATCTATTTTTTTGCATGCAGAATGGATATTCACGGAATATTTCCCGAGAGTTCTCATGGTCCCATTGTAAACATGCTTCATGGATCTCATTGCTCATGTTCTCCCTTCCCCTATATTCTCTTTTTTTTACTTACATTTCAAAGTGAAGAAAAAAATTGCCCTTTCTATTTTACTTTACTTACCCCCCCTCCTCACACATGTACACGTATATACACGTACACGCTATAAACGCATTCACATACACACACACACACACACACACACATTCTCGATTTATCGTAAAGGCCTTCAATTGAAAGTAACAACGAAGTGAAAGGCCTTGCAAAGTTTTCTCCCCAAGGCTATTCAGTATTAGCAAATGAACATGATAGTTTTACTAAAAATAGGCCTTATATCTCACCCTAACTTCTCCCTTCTCTGCTTCTTTGTCCCTTTTCCTCTTCCTCTTTCTCATTCTGGCTACAATCTCTCTCTGAAAATTTTTTCTTGCTAAATTTCATTACTGTCACTGCCTGAGTTAATCGCTACGTAAACATTTTGTTTTTTTTTTTCTTCTGCATTTGCAGCAACGAAGGACATTTCTCTCTCCATTTTTCTATCCCATTTTTTTGCAAGAATTGTGTTTCAGACTTTCCATACATACCTTTTTCTCTTTCTCTCTCTCTCTCTCTTTATTTCTCCATTCTTCTCTGTTCATCACCACACATTTCTCTCCATCTTTTTATCTAGTTTTACAAATAATAGTATGAGATATCATCCAATAATCACAAAATTTCCAAGCTTAAATATATTTAAACAGTGCAGTTTTCGCTTTTGGATAAAAAAAAAAGTAAGGGATTATGTAAATATATGCATACTCTCCCTCAATGAATATCCTTTTAGGGCATGAAATTTTAACTTTAGTCTTTTAAAATAATTCTCTCCTACTTTTCTAATTAAAATTATCATAAAGTTAGTTGAAAAATATTAAAATAACTGAAAATTATCATTAAACTATTGAATGAATTCATCTGTTTTTCCAGAAATATTTGTTTCAGTTTGTTTCTTTTTTTTGGTTTCTTAAACAAACAGTCTTCTTAAATTTGTTTTATTCATATAAATAGTAGCATTTGTTAGTGGTTGGTGGTTTTGGTAATGGATCGTTTAGAAATGTAAGAAGAAATTGTCATTGCTTGTAAATAATCATTTGAGGGAGAG